GCGGGCCACCTGTGGAGAGAGCGGGGGCAGGGTGGGTCCTGGAGGACCGCCCCCTGGTGTGGGTGGCCACCCCGCCCCGCCCCGAGGACCCCCAGATCTGCCCCAGTGGGGCAATAACGGGGGGTGAGCCCATCCTCCCTCTTCCTACTTCCGCTTCGGCGTGCGTCCCAAGGGCCACCCCCTGGTGCAGGTGGCCGTGTGGGCCCCCCGGAGGACACCCCCCGGACCCCCAAATCTACCCCGGGGGCAATACAGGGGGGCAATAACAGGGGGGTGACCCCATCCTATCTCCTCGTCCTTCCGCTCCGCCTCCTCTTTGGCGTGTGTCCCTGAGAGCCAGTCCTGCTGCGGGTGGCCATGTGGTCCCCCCGGAGGACACCCCCCCGGACCCCCAAATCTGCCCCGGGGGCAACACGGGGGGGCAATAGAGACGGGGGGGCGACCCCCTCCTACCTCCTCGTACTTCCGGTCGGCCTCCTCGGCGATGTGCTTGGCCTCCTTCAGCTGCATCTCCTGGATCTCCATCTTCTCCTCGTCCTTCATGGCGCGGTTCTCGATGACCTTCATGCCCCTGCGGGGCAATCGCGGGGTGACCCGGGGCAAAACCCGCGGGCTGCCCCCCCCGGCGCCCCCCCAACCTACCTCTCGCTCTCGTCGGCGGCCTTCTCGGCCTCCTCCAGCTTCTGCAGGGCGGTGGCCAGGCGCTCCTGGGCCCGGTCCAGCTCCTCCTCGACCAGCTGGATGCGGCGGTTCAGGGCGGCCACCTCGGCCTCGGCCTGCCGTGGGGGGAAGGCGCTGTGACCCCCCGTGGGCCGGGGGCCCCCCTCCGGCCTCGCCCCGTTCCCATGATCCTCTTCGCAGAGCCGGGGTCAGGCTAGATGCCCTCACGGGCCCCTGCTGCCTCACCCCGTTCCCACGTTCCTCTCCTCAGAGCCGGGGGCAGACTAGATGCCCTTGCAGAACCCTCCTGCTTCGCTCTGTTTCTATGGGTCTCTGAGCAGGGCCGGGGTCAGACTAGATGCCCCGGAGGTCCCATCTGCCTCACTCGTTTTCCATGTTCCTCTGCGCAGGGCCGGGGTCAGGCTAGATGCCCTCCTGGACCCCTTCCGCCTCACCCAAGTCCCCGCCCCCCGCCCCCCCCGGGGGGGCACCCACGTCGGTGGCCTTCTTCTCGGCCTGCTCCAGCTTCTCCTGGGCGTCCTTCAGGGCCTCGGAGTACTTGTCCAGCTCGTCCTCCGTCCCCTTGAGCTTCTTCTGCAGGGCCGCCAGCTCCTCCTCCACCTGGGGGGCGGGCACACGCCGGCCGGGCCACCATCAGCCCCCGCTCCCATCCTCCCCAGCCCCCACTCCCATGCTCCCCGGCCCCTCGCCTCCCCGCCCAAGTCGCTAGTCCTCATTGCCCACCCCGCAGCAGCCCCGCTGGCTCGGCCCCCGTGCGTGCATGCGTGCGTGTGCGTGGGGGGGCTGTCCCATCATCCCCAGCCCGGGCCTGGGGCGCCTTCGAAAGGGGGGCGCAGGGGGGGCAGATCCTCTCGGAAGGGGCCCTGGAGGCCATCTAGTCCACCCCCTGCCCGGGTGGAGCATGGGGCCTTCTCATATTTAAATAATATTTCGTTTCAATGAAATAGTGAAATTCATTCCTTGAAATGAAATATTCATATTGAAATGAAAGATCGAGCGTTTTAATCTTGAAATGAAATGTTGAGCCTTTTCGTATTTAAATGAAATATTTCACATTTTAATCCTTAAATGAAATATTGAGCCTTTTCATATTTAAATGAAATATTGAGCTTTTTCATATTTAAATGAAATATTGAGCATTTTAACCTTTAAATGAAATATTGAGCCTTTTAATCTTTTAATGAAATATTCCTCATTTTCATGTTTAAATGAAATATTTCACATTTTAATCTTTAAATGAAATATTGAACCTTTTCATATTTAAATTAAATATTGAGCATTTTAACCTTTAAATGAAATATTGAGCGTTTTAGTCTTTAAATGAAATATTGAGCCTTTTCATATTTAAATGAAATATTCTGCATTTTCATATTTAAATGAAATATTTCACATTTTAATCTTTAAATGAAATATTGAGCCTTTTCATATTTAAATGAAATATTGAGGATTTTAGTCTTTAAATGAAATATTGAGCCTTTTCATATTTAAATGAAATATTCTGCATTTTCATATTTAAATGAAATATTTCACATTTTAATCTTTAAATGAAATATTGAGCCTTTTCATATTTAAATGAAATATTGAGGATTTTAATCTTTAAATGAAATATTGAGACTTTTCATATTTAAATGAAATATTGAGTGTTTTCATATTTAAATGAAATATTGAGGATTTTAATCTTTAAATGAAATATTCACCATTTCAAAGTTGAGCATTTCAAGCACGTTTTATGCCCAGCCATGGATGATTTTGTATCCTTTGGGTTTCTGTGCATTGATTGGATATTGATTGTCAAATATCCAGGGTATTTATTGCATATTGATCATCAACTATCCAGGGTATTTATTGGATATTGATTGTCAAATATCCAGGGTATTTATTGGATATTATCAAGTATCCAAGGTATTTATTGGATATTGATTGTCAAATATCCAGGATATTTATTGGATATTATCAAATATCCAAGGAATTTATTGGATATTATCAAACATCCAAGGTATTTATTGGATATTGATTGTCAAATATCCAGGATGTTTATTGGATATTATCAAATATCCAAGGAATTTATTGGATATTATCAAACATCCAAGGAATTTATTGGATATTGATTGTCAAATATCCAAGATATTTATTGGATATTATCAAATATCCAATGTATTTATTGGATATTATCAAACATCCAAGGTATTTATTGGATAGTGATAGTCAAATATCCAGGATATTTATTGGATATTATCAAATATCCAAGGTATTTATTGGATATTGATTGTCAGATATCCAAGGTGTCTATTGGATATTGATCGTCAAATATCCAGGCTATTTATTGGATATTGACTGTCAAATATCCAAGTTATTTATTGGATATTGATGGTCAAATATCCAAGTTATTTATTGGATATTGTCAAATATCCAGGGTATTTATTGGATATCGATCGTCAGATATCCAAGGCGTTTGTTGGATATTGATCGTCAAATATCCAGGGTATTTATCAGATATTGATTCGTCCGCCGTCCAGAGAGGGTCTAAACTCCCCCGCTAAATCCATTTACGGATCAATTCCTTCAAACCTTTCCCATGCCCCCCTTGATCTAATTATCTCAGCAATTTAACGAGGCTCCAAAGCAGCCAATCAAACCCTCCGGAATTTAAATATGTCATGAGCTCCTTCGGGCGCGATGAAGAAATCGCAATAAATCGGATTAAAAGGGGGAATTCATTGGGGAATGACCAGAAGGGGGGCGCCGGGGGGGCGGCTGGGGGGCAGTTGCCCCCCCCGGGGTCAAGAGGGGGCACATTCCTGCCCCGCGCGGCCCGTTATCTCCGGAGTCGGAAGGAATTTTGCTCCGATAAGGCCGAGCCGGAGGATATAAATAGCGGCGCTCTGGAGAAAACAGGGATTTATATGGATTTCACGGCTGGGGGGGAGGGACCAGGCCGGGGGATGATTGGAGGACCCCCCCACCACCACCACCAAGGGCCTATCATCCACGGGTGGGACGTCATGGCCCTTCCAGCTCCACCATCCCATGATCCTATCGTCCACGGTTGGCCCTGCTGGCCTTCAAGCCCCTCCAACTCCACCATCCCATGATCCTATCATCCCCGGTTGGACCTGATGGCCTTCAAGCCCCTTCCAACTCCACTATCCCATGATCCCATCATCCCCGGTTGGACCTGATGGCCTTCAAGCCCCTTCCAACTCCACCATCCCATGATCCTATCGTCCCCGGTTGGACCTGATGGCCTTCAAACCCCTCCAACTCCACCATCCCATGATCCTATCATCCCCGGTTGGCCCTGATGTCCTTCAAGCCCCTTCCACCTCCACCATCCCGTGCTCCCACCATCCACGACCCCCTCCCATCATCCACGACCCCCTCCCATCATCCACACCCCCCGGTGCCCTCCCACCCCACCCCCGCTGGACTCCCCCCCTGCCGGATGAACCAGCTCCACCAGGTGCTGGAAACACCTCCTCCTCCCCCTCTGCCCCGCCGCCCCCCCCCGGGGCCACCACCGCCCCCATGCTCCCCAGCACCTGCTTGCCCTTGTCCTCCGCCGCCTTCTTGTCCGCCTCGGCCTGCTCGGCCCGGTCGATGGCGTTCTCCTTGTCCAGCTTCAGCATCTGCATCTTCTTCTTGATGGCCTCCATCTTGCTGGCCTCCGCGTCTTCCCCCGGGAGAGGCAGCAGAGGCTCCGGGAGGGTTTTTAAGGCCTCCCAGCAGCCCCTGGGGGTGATGGGACTCGGTGGCCCTCCCCGCCGCCATGGCTGGGGGGAGATAAGCCAGAGGCCTCTGGGTGGAGGAATCTCGGCCGAGACCTTATATGGCGTCTGGAAACGGGACGGAGGGGCTGTTTCCATTTTTAACCGGCCGGCTGGGCTGGGGACGATGGCCCCCGGGGTGGGGGGGTGCTGGGGAGGTGGGGTGGGGTGGAGGATGGGCCGAGAGAGCGAGTGGGAGGGGAACGTGGTGGAGGGGATGAGCTGGGGGGGACGGAGAGTTCTGGGGATGCTGGGCCTTGAGGAGAGGGCAGGATGGGACATGATGTCCCTCTGGGAGGACCTCAAAGGGTGACGCAGAAGGTCGCTTCTGGCTGATGCCAGGGGAGGACCCCCCAGGTTGAGGGTGGAGAACAGGAGAATGGGGAGTGGAGTCCCGGGAGGCCCCTCCTGTCTGGCTCTGTTTCTTTGTTTCCCTGAGCGGAGCTGGGGTCAGACTAGATGACCCTGAGGCCCCATCAGCCTCGCTCAGTTTCTGTGTTTCCCTGAGCGGAGCCAGGGTCAGACTAGATGGCCTCCAGGACCCCCTCCAACTCCACCATCCCATGATTCTATCATCCACGGGTTGGCCTTGATGTCCTTCCATGGATCTCTGAGCGGAGCCGGGGTCAGACTAGATGCCCTCGCAGGTCCCTCCTGCCTCGCTCTCTTTCTGTGGGTCTCTGAGCGGACCCGGGGTCAGACTAGATGGCCCGGAGGCCCCTTCTGCCTCGCTCTGTTCCCATGTGCCCCTGAGCAGAGCCGGGGTCAGACTAGATGCCCTCGCAGGTCCCTCCTGCCTCGCTCTCTTTCTGTGGGTCTCTGAGCGGAGCCGGGGTCAGACTAGATGCCCTCGCAGGCTCCTCCTGCCTCACTCTCTTTCTCTGGGTCTCTGAGCGGAGCCGGGGTCAGACTAGATGCCCTCGCAGGCCCCTCCCGCCTTGCTCTCTCTCTATGGGTCTCTGAGCAGAGCCGGGGTCAGACTAGATGCCCTCGCAGGCCCCTCCCGCCCCGCTCTGCCTCTCGTGTCCCCATATCCTTTCTTGCAAGGATGTCCCGTCCCCAAAAGGCCACCGGGGGGCAGCAGAGCCTCTCCGGCTGCCGCTTGCCTGTGTCCTCGCTGCCGGGTCGTCATTCCCTGGGGGGCAGCGGGTTCCTCTGAGGCCATCTGGTCTGACCCCGGCTCTGCTCAGAGACACATGGGAACCGAGTGAGGCAGATGGGGCCTCTGGGTCATCCAGTCTGACCCCGGCTCTGCTCAGAGACACCGAAAAACAGAGCGAGGCAGGAGGAGCCTCAGGGCATCTAGAGCTCCCGGAGCTGCACCCGCAGAGCAGTGGCCCGCCTGCTCCCTGCCAGAGCTGCATCCACAGAGCACCGGCCTGCCTGGTCCCTGCCAGAGCTGCACCCGCAGAGCACCGGCCTGCCTGCTCCCTGCCAGAGCTGCACCCGCAGAGCACCAGCCCGCCTGCTCCCTCCCAGAGCTGCACCTGCAGAGCACCAGCCTGCCTCCCTGCTCCCAGAGCCTCCCTTGCACAGCCTCGTCCTCCTTGCCTGCTCCCAGAGCTGCACCCGCAGAGCAGCGGCCCGCCTGCTCCCTGCCAGAGCTGCACCCGCAGAGCACCAGCCTGCCTCCCTGCTCCCAGAGCCTCCCTTGCACAGCCTCGTTCTCCTTGCCTGCTCCCAGAGCTGCACCCGCAGAGCAGCGGCCCGCCTGCTCCCTCCCAGAGCTGCCCCTGCAGGGCTTCGCCATGCGCATCCGCTCCCAGAGCTGCACCAGCACGGCCTCGTCCTCCTTGCCCGCTGCCAGAGCTTCACCCGTAGAGCAGCGGCCTGGCCGCCCGCAGGCCGCCGCCCCACCCAGATGCCATGGTGGGAACCCGGGCCGTGCGGTTAGCGGCACCTCCGCCGTTCTCAGAAGTGCCAGTTGCTCAAAACAGCCCGCGATGTTTGTCGAGCTGCGGCAGCCGGAAATCTGCCCGGGGAAGCGCGATGGCGCCGATAGGGCCGCTCCCCGGGGCCCCGTGTGGGGGGGGGGCGGGGGCATCTAGTCTGACCCCGGCTCCGCTCAGAGACCCATAGAAAGAGAGCGAGGCAGGAGGGACCCGCGAGGGCATCTAGTCTGACCCCGGCCCCGCTCAGAGACCCATAGAAAGAGAGCGAGGCAGGAGGGGCGCCCGGGGGCATCTAGTCTGACCCCAGCTCCGCTCAGAGACCCATAGACGGACATCAAGGCCAACCCGTGGATGATGGGATCATGGGATGGTGGAGTTGGAAGGGCTCTGACGGACAGCAAGGCCAACCCGGGGATGATGGGATCATGGGATGGCGGAGTTGGAAGGGCCACGGAGGACATCAAGTTTGACCCGGGGATGATGGGATCATGGGATGGTGGAGTTGGAGGGGGCCCTGGAGGCCATCTAGTCTGACCCCGGCTCTGCTCAGGGAAACAAAGAAACAGAGCGGGGCAGATGGGACCTCAGGGTCATCTAGTCTGACCCCCACTCGGCTCATAGAAGCAGGGAGTCTGAAGGGGTCTCTGGGTCATCTAGTCTGACCCCGGCTCCGCTCAGAGACCCATAGAAAGAGAGCGAGGCGGGAGGGGCCTGCGAGGGCATCTAGCCTGACCCCGGCCCACCCCCCCCCACCCAACCCCTCCGTGGGGTCCGTCCCGGTCACGTATTTGCATTCTGAAAAGGGGCCAGAGGGGGGAAGCAGCTGTGCTTTGAGCTTATGCAAAGCGGCGAAAGGGGAAGTCGGGAAAGGGAGAAAAATAGAAACTCGGCAGGGCAGGAGGGGCCTCTGGGCCATCCAGTCTGACCCCGGCTCTGCGCAGAGGAACATGGAAACGGAGCGAGGCAGATGGGGTCTCCGAGGCCATCTAGTCTGACCCCGGCTCTGCGCAGAGGAACATGGAAACGGAGCGAGGCAGATGGGGCCTCCGGGCCATCTAGTCTGACCCCGGCTCTGCGCAGAGGAACATGGAAACGGAGCGAGGCAGATGGGGCCTCCGGGCCATCTAGTCTGACCCCGGCTCAGAGAAGCAGAGGGCAGGCCATGCTGCAATGGAGCCCAGCTTGAGGAAGCGAGCTCCAATTGGATGTGGGGAGTCCTTCTGGTTGGTTCAGACGCCCAGGGTATGGGATGGGCTCCCACGGGAGCTGTGGGAAGCCCCATCCCCTGTGTTTTTCTGAGTGGAGCCGGGGTCAGACTAGATGGCCCAGGAGACCCCTTCTGGCTTGCTCTTTTTCTATGTTTCTCTGAGCAAAGCCAGGGTCAGAATATATGACCTTGAGGACCGCTTCTGCCTCACTCTGTTTATATGAGTGGAGCCGGGGTCAGGCTGGATGACCCGGAGGCCCCTTCCGCCTCGCTCTGTTCCCATGTTCCCCTGGGCAGAGCCGGGGTCAGACTAGATGACCCGGAGGCCCCTTCTGCCTCGCTCTGTTTCCATGCTCCTCTGAGCAGAGCCGGGGTCAGACTACATGACCCAGAGGCCCCTTCTGCCCCGCTCTATGAGTGGAGCCGGGGTCAGACTACATGACCCAGAGGCCCCTTCTGCCCCGCTCTATGAGTGGAGCCGGGGTCAGACTACATGACCCAGAGGCCCCTTCTGCCCCACTCTATGAGTGGAGCCGGGGTCAAACCACATGACCCAAGAGTCCCTTCCACCTCGCTCTGTTCCCATGTTCCCCTGAGCAGAGCCGGGGTCAGACTAGATGACCGGGGGACCCCTTCCGCCCCGCTCTCTCTCTCTCTGTTTTCCACCTGGGCCGGGAGGCCCCGCGCAAACAAGGCCCGAGCAGCAGAGCCGCCCCGCGCTCTGCACGTGGCCCGGGTTTCGAAAGCGCCCGCTCCCCCGAAACCTGTGGCTCCCCGCAGGCATCCGAGGTTTGCTAATCGACTGTTATGCTAATGACACGTCGTTCGGAGGCTCAACCACCGAGAGTGTCGCTTGCCAGGAACAGCCGGGCTGCGCTGGGGCTGCAACGGCCAACGGACGGGCGCCGGGGTGCCTCTGTCCCATGATCCTGAGCCGGGGGTGGACTGGATGGCCTCCGGGACCCCTCCGTGTCATGATCCTGAGGCGGGGGTGGACCGGATGGCCTCTGGGACCCCTCCGGCGCCTCCGTGCCATGATCCTGAGCCAGGGGTGGACTGGATGGCCACAGGGACCCCTCTTGCTCCACTATCCCATCATCCTCTGATCCAGGGGTTGGACTAGATGTCCTCCATGGCCCCTCCAGCTCCACGATCCCATCCTCCTGATCCAGGGGTTGGACTAGATGTCCTCCATGGCACCTCCAGCTCCACGATCCCATCCTCCTGATCCAGGGGCTGGACTAGATGCCCTCCCCGGCCCCTTCCCACCCCACCATCCCACACTCCGCGGCCCATGTTGCTGCTCCTCCGCCCCCCGCCCCCCCGGGCCCCATTTCCCTAGCGGAACATCCTGTCCGTGGCAACCGCATCTCATTTTGTGCGCCGCTGAGCTTTCTGGGGGAAACAGTTGCCGTGATTCCGCGGCTCCAGCTGCGCAGGCGAACATCTGGCCGGCTGCTTTCGGGGGGACCCTGGTCGCCCCCCGCACGGCCCCCAAAACCTCTCGGGGGGGGGGTCCCTGGGCCTCTCGAGCGGGAGAAGAAATTCCATTTTTTAATTTCCATTGAATTACATATCATTATAATAGACTTACATATCATTATAATATATTATGTTGAGATTGTGATTCTACACTGATAGAATTGCAGGATAGAATTACGTATAATAATCAAAAATGGGATACATAATTATTTTACTGAGAATTGTATATCATATAATTACATATCATTATAATGATATGCAATTCTAGTATACTGATAGAATTACATCTCATTATAATATGATGATGAGATGTGATTCTATACTGAGAATTACATGATAGAATTACGTATAATAATCAAA